TCGTCTGCCTGCTACTACTGCCGTACTGGACGTTGCTTCCTCGCGACCTCGCGCACGTGGGCCTGCCAACTTGGCTGCGCTGGCTGCTTGCTTCGATTTGATGTATCGCGTAGTCCTTCCTTGTTTGTTCGCCTGCTGAGCCACGTGCTCGTGGTCGCTGCCAATCGGTCCGCTCCGACTTTAATCGCCGGGTTCGTCGTGTGTTTCCCCCACCGACGCACCGCGCGCAAAGCCACACTTCTTCCCTCCCCGCTCGCTCGCGCTCTCGGCCTCTCTGCTTGCTCTCCCGAGCCGTCACCCCCGTGCGCCCCTCGCCTCTGCTTGCCTCGCACTAGCGCCCCATCGCTGAGTCGTTCGTCTCCTTCCTCGCCGCACGTCGTGCCCACAGCGTCGCCTCCGCGCGAGTACCAGCGCCTCCTTGCTCCTCCTCGCTCCTCCTCCGCATGCCATAGCTCCACGACGGCTGCGCACGTCTCCACCTCCGTGCCACGCTCCGAAGCGCCCCACCATTGAGCCATTTCGCCCCCTGCCGTCCTTCGTGAGCACCGGCGTCCCCTCCTTCCCTCTCCTCCTCGGCCGCGCAGCGCCTTGGCGCGTCGTGCCAGATGCCGCCGCGCCCTCCCGTGCGCCCGTGCCGCGCGATGAGCCCGCGCCCTTCTTCCGGGCCGCTGCGCCTCGAACCTCCTCCGCCGTCGTCCGCGCCGTGCACCTTGCACACCTTGCTGCGCTCATCGCCTCCCGAGCCACTCGGCGTGTGCAAATATGAATGAGCACCGCAAGGACTGCGTTCACTAGCAAAAGGATTTGCGCCCGTGACGGCTGTGTTTATAGCTCGCCCACTGCAGCTCAGCCACACAGCTCCCTTCAAGCTCCAGCCATCGAGCGCAGCCTTTCCAACGCATCCAAGCCTTGCGCCGACGTGGCAACAAAACGGAACAAGCTGGTGGTGCAACACCATGGATCGCCATGCCACCACGCGCGTGTTCGCGCCTGGCGGCAATGATGGGGCTGATTGTTCATGGTGCATCATTGTGGCAGGGCGCTGCCAACGAATCCATTAACTTAGCAATGGTCGCTGGTTTCGCTTTTTTCCCTCCACAAAATTCTCCGGCGGGCCTCCCCCGTCGTGAAAAGCTGCCTTTCCCGGCCGGGGTTGGTCGCCGGCCGGAGCTCCTCTTCCGGTGCTCTATTTTTGGAGTGGGAGAGAAGGGTAATAATCCAAGAAAGATTTTGTACAGGGTTCGGATTGCTAAATACATGACTCATGCGAATAGTACACGCTGGGCGATGGGTAGTTTTGAGAAAGTGCAGGGTCCTTTTTGCATAAGAACGCGCCCTCTCTGGTTCCTGGCCACGTGGGCTGGCTATTGGGCTCATGACATTAACTGCGCTGCTCGCTCGAAACAAAATATCTCAGATTACCAATTGATGATGCCAGCCCCGCTTGATTGGTAGCCCTACCACCACCACCGTCAAGAATCGGGCTCATCGTCCATGCCTTTTTCGCTTGGCTTGCCCAAGCAAGAAGGGCCATTTGCTTGTCTCGGACCGGCTGCCTGCCCATTGCAGTGGACATGGGTCAAATGCGTGTGTTGTGTAAAGCGTCTGCGGGCCGGGAGATCTTTGGGCCAAAAGGGCGTTGTCGCCGGCCCTTTCCAATTGTAAGTGCTTTTCTAAAATCGATTTCTAGTTTAAATTGTAAAATCAATATAAAATGGTAGAGGAATCCAAAAATGGTAAAATAAATTTTGTTAATCTCCTAAAATTATGATCTACCTACTAGTATACTTTGTTCACATAGTTTGATAATATTCTTGAAGCTGTATAATTAATTTAAGGTACTTAATATTGTAAAATATAAACTTGTAGGAATTTCTAGGATAAATTGGTAATATTGTTGAATCTAAAATTTGTACAGTAGGCTCCTAGCAATATTAGGTACTCACTGTAATTTTTGTAGCTCCAGAATAATTAGTTTGCTAAATAGATAACGATGCCCTGTCCGAATAAAGATTAAATGGATAGAATAGGATAAAGAAACAACTTGGGTTTGTATAACTAAAACAATTGTTGGGAAGTAACGCCTTATTCGACAACACGGATACGAAGCCTAAGTACGGTCGTCGTTAGAACTAGCCCATTAACTTGAAAGGCGTAGATCGTATTTCTACGAGTCCCGATTGCAGTTGATTAATTACGTCTTTGCATTGCATCGCATGCATATCATATAGGTACGATAATGGATCAATTGAAGGATGATTGGAAATCCAAAGATGGTGTAATGGTATTCTCTCCAGGAGATGATGCAATGGGCTTTCTATTCAGATGATGGTGGATGATCTGAAGATGCAGATACTAACTTTTTAATCTATATCTTACCCAGGCAAGCCCCGGTGCATAACTCCTACTCTTCTGCAGTTTAAATTATATTTGTGCATTAAGTTTTAAGGAGTTGAATAAAACCCACTTGCATATATATATATATATATATATATATATATATATATATATATATATATATCCTATGAGTCATACTACTATGACAGGATCGGGTAGATTGTTATGCTACAGGAACCGGTAGAAGTCGAGTGATTGCCTGTCACTCGCGAGATATAGAAAATATGTTACTATATCACTATCACTTGAAAAATATAAATGGTGGAAAGAAAAAATGGTGACCGAGTAGGGATATGGTTTGGGTATTGGTGGGTGTAAGAGGTTTTGTCGCCGTGGACGCGGGGCATGGCTTGGTTACACTGCTTTTCCTGTCTGTGTCGGTTAAGGACCGATCGTTGCATAAGCCATCGAGACAAGTCATAGACTTATTATCCCGAGCACATACTTGGGTATGTGCGCTTGGGAGACTTGTTGCTCCCTTGTCGTGGATTTCGGCTTTTTCCGGACTGACTGTCAGGGTTTCTTTTTGGTGGAGGAGGTCCTTGCACTGCACTATGTCCGGGACTCAGGGGCGGGGGCATGGAGTCCCATTTTGGATGAGGACCTAGGACCCCAGGACAGGAGGGTGATGGGTTGGTCCGGCTTGTGCCTTGGGTACAAGCAGAGCGTGTGTTTTTAGGGTACCCAGCTGGGGGCATTGATTCGCGAATCGTCGAGCGATCCGGTATGGCTTGTTTCGTGTCTAGCACCGTAGTAAGAACCGGAAGATGAAAGATGAGATGGAAAAAGAAAATCTGATTGCTTACCACCTGCTTGAAAGTAGCACAGGTGCTTACATATAATGGTTAGTTAATAAACCAATGCGGCTATTAATAAAAATCGAATATAAGAACGCACGTTTAGTCACGCTTCCTGCAAATGCAATAAACCCACAAGCCAGATAGCCGTGCATATCTTTGGAGTCTTTTCTTTTCTCTTGTCAGGTAAGTCTTGCTGAGTACAATTGAGTACTTAGGGTTTTATTTCCCCTGTTGCAGGTGATAGGTGGATGCTAGAGCTGACCTTTATGTGTGGATCCCTCCTGGTGGGCTCGGAGAGGATTTCCTTTATGCTACGATCATAGTTTTTTATTTATAACTCTCACTAAATGTTTTTATGAATGAAAAATTTATAATCTGGTGTCATAGTTTACATATCAATGCTTCACCATGTCATGAATGGATAATCATTTTCGCTGTAATTCTGATCACATGTTTATATTCTGCTGTTCAATTAAATTGTTCATAACTCTGATAAGATGTTTATATTCCGCTGTTAAATAATAAATGTTATACTCAGATGTTGTATTAAAAGTGATGTAAGAAATGGTTAAGAATGCTGTAAGCTTTATTCTCTCATTTGTGATCCTGATTGCAAAAATGTGGATTTTCGGGTTCTCCCCTGTGGTGTGCCCGACAAAACCGAGTAATTTAGCGTTCTCCCCTGAGTACTTAGTATCTAATGGAAGACAAGCACTCCTGGGAGACATTAGATTAGGCGGTTCTGCCACAATGTCAAACCATTCTGGGTTGTCGTCCTTCCTCATTTTCAGAAGGACTCCCCGTCGCAAAGCTTTCGCCACCTCAATGGCAACTCGTGCACGAAGGAAAGGGCCACTCGCCTTTCCGTCTTTATCAACATCCATCTTCGCCTCTCCGATCAGGCCCATGGCTCTCTCACCTCGGTGTCGGTTCATCCATCCTAAAGGAAGGTTTAGAATCCGTACCCAGATGTCCATACGATCGAACCTGATTTCCGACGGCCCAAGATGTTCGTCGTAATGCTGCAGGATCAAGGCATGCTTCCCAACCATCCATGGAGAGGCCCCCAATGCCCTTTCCATATCTTGTTGGAAGCCGAATTCCGCCACAAACAGATTGTCTTCCTTCTCTCCAATTGTTCTAATCTTTAAGCCATATGGATTACCACACATCGGCTTCATTGCACGAAAGATCGTGGTGGCGTGTACCATCGCCGGCGAGAGCACCTTGCCAACAAGAGTCCATTCCACAACTGAGACCTCTCCGTCTTCCTCATCATCGCTGAAAGCCACCACATCTCCTTCTTCCGCTGTTAGGTTTAGGTTCTGCAGCAGGTCAGCGACGTTCGCATCTGGGTTCACCGGCTTTCCTCCTCCGATCACGGCCATGGCACAGATCGGCGGGGAGACAATAGGTCTGCCACGTGCAGGACAGCAATGCGCACAGAAAACAAGTCCCGACTTGGGTTCCTAGCGGCGTGCGCCCCTAGTGGGGAGTATGTGGTCGATGGCGCTGGAAATGGGTAACCGTCGATATGCAGTTGGTCGTCGTCGACTGAGAGTCGATGGTGGGGCGTGGGCGCCGTAACCGAGTGGTCGCCGGCAATGCTGATCCAGTTCACCGGAGTTGGTGATCTAGATCGGGGTCAGAACTTTGGTCACCTTTGAGGTCGCCAGGAAACGGACTCCGCTAATTACGGATCCCATTCGGCCTTCTAGCACGAAAAATTAGCAGTACAAAATCTCTACAATTAGATGATTCCGTTGCGTTGCCACCGAATATTCCGCAGAGCCTAATACCAAACTACCTCATCCACCTGCCAATCTTCATTGCCATTATCTTCCGCCTCTTGTGTTCCTGGTGCTTGGCTACCATACGCCGCTTGGGCTTGGCATGCCGTTCTGGGTCCACGGCTGCAACAATCTTCTGTGCCTGCTTTCTACTGTCCCGCTTCTGTTTCAGGCCCATCCAAACACTCTTGTAGACTTCAACAAATTTCTCGGAACCAATCAGGTCACGTAACTTGTTCTGGACCCCCTGGGCCAGTTGCTTCACTTCATCTGAAACCACCACAGCAAAACGGTACTCAGATAAGCTCAGACAGATGGCAAGCCCTAAGCACTGAGCATGTGTACACTGAATATGTATGCACCTCCGATATGCTGAAAACAAATAATGAACAATACCAAGACAGGAAAATTAACACATACCACTAACGATTTTCCCAGCAAATCCTTCCAGAAACTTTATACAATGGGGCCAAGAGGTGATCAGCATAGGTTAGTGATTCATCAGAGCCAAGAGCTGATGGAATCATACTGAAGCAATTGAACACGATCTTTATCTGCGTATGGACAGAAAAATTAAGTATTACATACATATGAATTGCAAGCCGCCATCCTGAAAAAAATACAAGGAAATGACTTAGCTGATGGAATGGAGCTGTGTATCCTGCATCTGCATTGCAATTCTTCCCATCTTCTTTAGGATTGACGAAACTAACAAAGATGTGGTACGAAGGAGAAACATATTTTTCACTTTTGTTGAACCAAGCAATTCAAAACCCTCAAGGAAAGCACCACGATCAGAACTAACGCTACCCCAAAACTGATGTGTTGAGGTCGATTGCCTAATCAACATATGCAAGTTGCAGACTGGGTATGCAAGATTCTGAACAATCAGATTATTTGTCGTAGTATCACTCAGTTCAGTCCTCAATTGTTTCAGCAAGGAAATAGCTATTATGAATAGCCTGCTTGGTTGAACAAGCAACCATGATGGGGCATCCAATTTCTGTTCATGTTTCCTCTTCTCCACAGGATTTAATGGCGTTATGCTTTCAGTGATAGGTGACGTTCCCGTCGACAGCGAAGCGTCTGCGGTGACTTCGTCAATCTCAAGATGTGTCGGCATAGTCTTTCGGAGGTGCTCATAGGGGTAGGGTTTGCGTGCATGTGTTGATAGGGGTGAGTGTGCGTGCATGTTGTGAGCGTCTTCGTCTATACCTATGTAATTCACAAAAAAAAACTTGCATAATATTATCCATATGTCCTGCAAACCCTAACCACTGTCGTCATCAGAGATGTCTCTGCAACATCTTTCTGGAATGATGTTTGGCATTTGGATGAGGCCCTTGCGGAAAGTTTCCCAGCTATTTTCAGTCACTGCAAACGAAAAGATGACTCAGTCAGAGAGGCACTGCTGTCCAACCTTGAGGATGCTTTTGCGCCAACACTCTACAACCAAGCCGAATCTGAGCTACAACAAATCAACTGCATTGTTGCTCAGACAACACTTACTCAGGGCAATGACACAAGAAAATCACCCTTTGACTGTGGCCGCGGTAAGGTAGACTCCTCATCAATCTACAGGCTGCTCAAATCATGCTGCGGATCCGTCATCCGACTTCATCTGGAAGAACTCGACGCCTCTGAGAATTCAGTTCTTCATGTGGCTTGTTTCAAAAGGTAGAATTCAGAGTCGAGCCAACCTGTTCAGGAAAAAAGTAGTTGATAATATGTGCTGTGAGATTTGTGGTGCCGATGAAGAGAACACGGATCACATCATCCTGCACTGCCCCTTCGCCAGAGCTTTCTGGGACAAGGTCGGATTGCCGCTAATAGATACTTCAACGACAAGGGACATTCAGACTTTCCCAAAAATTCAGCCCATTCCAGCGACGCAGTACAGCACCTTCTTTGCTCTCTGTTGTTGGCAACTATGGAAACGTCGAAATGCTTTCATTTTTCGTAGTGAGATCCTCTCCTTAAGACAAGTGCTTCAAGCCTGCTGTTCAGACACTAGAGCTTGGCGCCCAAGAATCCCAAGAAAGCAAAGACATATTGCTGATGACTGGTGAAGCTTCCTAGAAGTTTTTCGTTCAAAAAAAAAGCTTCCTAGAAGTTTTAGTAAATTCCAATACGTAAACTTCTGATGTTTTGTAAATTCCGGCTCTCTTGTAACCATGTAGCCTTGGACTAGTGCCAAAATTCAAATTATACAAATAAAATTCAGTTGGGGATTCCCCGCCGCCCCGTCCCCCCCTTCAGGTTGCAAGGGATATGACCAGTTCAAGGCTTGAAACAAATACTATGTTTAAGACCAAATAAATCTGAGACCCCAATACTAAATAAGTAAATGGTCAATAAGTGCCTTGAATACTTAAGTCTAGTAGTACAAATCTCATTAAATGGGTACAAAGACATGGCTGCAAAAAAAATGGATGCTGGAAAAGAAGAATATGATTGCTTGACAACCTTAAGGTTATCAAAGCGGTAAAGCGAGGCGTGGCGACTGACTATCGCCTTATGTTTAAGCGACTAAGGCATGAGGCGAGGCGACATAAAAGACATGGCGAGATCTAGATCAGAAAAAAAAACAAAATACATACATCTGCAATTTGATATAGTTGTAGTGCACGAAGGTAATCATACCTCCATGTTTTGCTCAAAATACAACTCCAGAAAGCGAAGAAGTAACATCTCCATCATGGCAACAAAGTGGTAAACCTCTCTCTTTTCCTAGGTGAAACAAGAATCTGTTTTGCTCAAACCAAAGGCAAGGAGCGCTTTCCACAATGGAAGGACAGCTTCATCAGATAAGCCTAATTGTATAGCTCCAGAAGCAATGACAGATGATTCCATTATTTTCTTAACAACTGCCAGAATACTTTTAAGGTGCTTGCCCGTTCGTAATGTGATGTGATCGCCAACAAGTAAACCAATAACCTGTAAAGTGCAAGAACCACTTCTAGTTGATGTAAAAAAGACAATAGTACTTTGAAACATAAGCATATAGGGACTAAAGTACTTCAATAACACCCAAATACCAAACAAAATTGCAACCACCGACCCAGTCCACTGCTAAATGTGCAATATATCTTTTTTTAGTATATGCGAAAATATAGCAATGCTACTAAATGGTAACCTGGGCTGAAGCACTCCACAAACTTTTCTTTTCACCAGTGTACCACGAAAGGGAATACTCAAAAATGTAACTCTTTCCCTGATCACCAATGCGTCCTAACAGCTTTTGGATAGCTCTAAGGATCATTGAAGACACATTCTGATGCTGTTCATCCGCTAGAGCAACTACAAGATGATGAAAAAAAGTTTGACCCTGGTCATCAATAATCCTCTGGGGAAATCTGGTAAGAATGTCATGGAGCATTTCAAGCACTGCTTCTCTTCCTGAAGGATGTTCATAACTGCAATTTTCCAGAGTGTTAGCATACAGTGCAGATGTTACGCTAAAGTTAAGTAACCATGGATATTCATCATACCTTAAGTTTGCCAGGAAAAAGTCCATATGTTGCTGTAAGCGCTTCTCAGAAAGTGGAGTTCAGAAAAAAAAATGTAGCATAATTTGAATGCATTGCTGCTGTATAGATTCAGTTAGCGTTGTTACCATCAACTCTCCTATCTTAACAACCATATCATAAATTTCGTGGGAAACCAATTTTAGCCTGACTATTGTTTTGAGAAGCGATAAGGCAACAGGGGAAGGATTTGTCTGAAGATCTACAAACATAGGGGTATGAACAAGAAGCTGATTATCTGAAAGTGAAATCCTGAATCCTCTAAGTAGATCAGCAAGTAGCTTAAAACAAGATGTGACTAAATGACCATTGGTGTTTCCTGCTCTCTGTACAATGTCCATAAGTACATTTTTTATAATAATTGCATTGTCCCTGAGAGATGGCAAAGGAAGTTTCACCAACAAGGCAAAACATCTAAAAGTGACTGAGAGAACACTTTCATGTTTGGAACTCATACACTTTTTTTTTTTTCGAATACGCAGGAGATCTGTGTATCATTGCATTATAGAGAGAAAAGGATCGGCCCCTTACAAACACCACCACCTCCTCACTCCTGGCGGGGTTGTGAGGGGTTGTTTCTTTACATTGAATCGCTTAAACTAAAGGAACTGAGAAAGAGGTGAGACCTGACCACAAAGAACACCAACCAAATAAACCAATGTAATCTATCCTAGCCCAACACCGTGACCCAGGCCTAGCGTGCGCAGGCCACGCACTCCCGCCAAGCACCAAAGCTGATATTCGTCTCTGAACTCTTCAAGCAGTCTGGTGATGCGGGGGTGAGACCCTTCAAAAACGCAAGCATTTCTGTGCTTCCAAAGGATCCAGGAACCTAGAATGATCATTGTGTTCAACCCCTTCTTCTTCTCCTTTGGAATTCTCTTGGTTGCTTTTCGCCACCAATCATCGAATGATTTCTCTAGCCTTGTGGGAGTCCGATCTTGCAGTCCCAAAGGAGTCAAGATCCGTGACCAAAATTCTCGAGCGAGGACACATGTAGTAAGTAGATGTTGGACCGTCTCATCTTCCTGATCACACAAGGGGCAGTGAGTCGGGTGAGGTAATCCTCTCTTGGCCAAACGGTCCGCCGTCCAGCACCTGTTTCGGATTGCTAGCCATAAAAATAATTTGCACTTTGCTTGTTCCCTAGATTTCCATAGACGTCGCCAAGGCGCAAAGGTGATGGAGCCATTGAAGAATGCCCGATATGCAGATTTTGAGGTAAACTAGCCTGACCCTTCTAGTCTCCAAACATGGACATCGTTATCCTGAGAGAGGATTGCCTCGTGCAAAATATCCCATAATTGAAAATATTCAAAGAGACCCACCAATGAGAGACCCCCACTGATGTCAGCAGGCCAAGCATGATCCTGTAAGGCGTCGGCCACCGTGCGCTGTCTGCGAGTGCGAGATGGGACTGCAGCAATCACCGCTGGTGCCAAGTCCTCCAAACAGCAGCCCATGAGCCACTTATCCTCCCAAAATAAAGTATTTCTTCCATTACCGACCCTAGATTCCACTGCAATGTTGAAAAGAGCTACAACATTCGGATGAACATGAATGTCATTGAGACCAGCCCATGCTCGGTTAGGGTCTGTTTTCTTGAACCATAGCCAACGGATTTGAAGCGCCCAACTCATGAACTCAAGGTTCAGTATCGAACGCATACACTTTCGCAAAAGGTCAACAAAAGGATCCAACATCTTCACGAGTTGTTCATCTTCCTTGTCTAGCTTGATGCTCTTCAGACGATTACGAAGTAAGTCAAGTGCAAACTTGGTAAGTACTAAATCCGTTCCAAATTATAGTTCGTTTGACTTTTTTTATCCCAAGTTTGACTACTCTTTTTTTTTCAAAAATTTGTGCAAATATCACTTCTTTGGTTGTGGTTTGCTTTATTAACAAAAGTTCTTCAAGAATGACTTAAATTTGACTATGTTTACACAAATTTTTTGAATAAGACGAGTGGTCAAACTTGATGTAAAAAAAGTCAAACGAATTATAATTTAGAACGGAGGGAATATATAAGATTTTTGCGATCCACTCTCACCTAGTCCTAGGAAGGTCTTTCCTACAGTACTGTCTTGATCAGGACTAGATTGTGTATTCTCTTTGCATTCAGATCTACTTCCTGTAATAGTATCCTCAATAAGACAATACACAAAGATAAACAAGTTTGATGTTTCAGTAGATCTACTTCCTCAATAAGTCTGGTTTTCAACTTTGGAGTAAGTTGCTTCTGAAGATGTAGAGAAACAAGTGAGATTATCTTCTTCAGTAAATCTGTCCTGAATGTAATACTTTGAGCAATCAGCTTAAGAGTCTCACATGACATTCTCTTCTTTGTCTCTTTCATTTTGGAGGCAAGTTTTTCAACTTCCTTTTGTTCTGCAACATCTCCAAGTAAATCAATGTCAACTACTGCCAACAAATCTTCTAAACAGTAGTCAAGCCTACCATACATATCAGCAGTTATGTTTTTTGACAATAAATAATGAAGTGTGTAGCCTAGAACATGTAACTCAAAACCTCTTTTAAGTATTAGGGAGCCTCAAAAACAAGGGAGCCCGACCAAGCCAGCCGGCCCAATCAGCCCAAAGAGCACAAGACAAGTGTAGCGATGTAAGTGTAGTAGTAAATTCAAGGCAGCAACGGTATTCTCGATTTTAACTTGCGCTAGCTTCTTCTAAGTTGGTGAGGTGGTAAAAAACTCTATCTGCACTCATCATGCCTCGACGCATAGGCCCGCCCGCTTTGCAGCTCGAGGATGATTTTATCCTGTCCCGCTCCGCAGGTCGCGCATGGGCCGGCCCGCTGAACATGCTCACGCATGGCCCACCAAATTCCCACAGCAAATGAACGTGCCAATACTAGGCCGCCCAACCCATGGAGCAACGACAGGGTCCGGCCCAATTGTTGATCCCGGCGTCCCAGTCCCAGTCCAAGCCTGCTGACCGACTTAATGCTCTGAAGCCATCGCTGGCAGCACGCAGCACCTCCAGTTAGGAAGCAGTGAACATGGGTGATCGATGCAGACCTAGCTTTAATTTGAGACTTTTGGAGAGTGCTTGAGCTTTGGGCTTGGGAGTACCGTACCACAGGGGCGATGCACCGCCATGTATTGGTTTTCTGATTTTTTTTACTTTTTAGATAGAAAAGCCAATTTCGAAAGGAAAGTAATATAGCTAACATTGTATTAAAGTACCGGTGTATAATATAAGCCTGCAAGTTACAATTGACATTATACTAATGCCTTGTCCGATACTATATTACTAGTAACACTTTAATTTGACTGGAGAGGCGAAGACATGTAGTGCGCGCACCGTGAATGTGCACGATTACCACTTTCCACTTTCGTTCTAAACAACCACGACTAGAAAAATAGATTATTAAGAAAACACAGTAAAGTAATTGTTTTGTGCATTTTATGTTCAGTGTTTAGTTGTTTAAATAACTACAGTATAATGTATTTGACCAGGACTTCAGAAGAAATGTGTGTTTGCACTTGTGACATTCACGTTATTATGGCCCTGTTTATTTTCCATCTTTTATCAAAACTTTAGCACTTTTAGCCCATGTTTTGACAAAATAGATCTAAACAGCATGGGCAAAAAGGAGCAAAACCTAGGCTGCTAAACTTTTGCCATTTGCTACCCAAGAGGCCTAAAATTGGGCAAAAATGCCTTGGGGCATGAGCTATAGACTAAACTTATTTGGTACGCGCTAAACATTTGTCATGCATCTAAACACCCAGATGTAAAGTTTAAATGGCAAAAGTTTTACAGCAAAAGATTACCGATAAAAGTTTTACCATTCCAAAAGCATCTAAACACCCTCTGTATCTCGGCTGCGTCGTGTGCCCTCGCTCGCCTCGGCGCGCTGCGTGCCGGTTTGAGCTCATCGGACCCGCGCAAAGCTCGCCTCACCCTGTGCCAGTGACACACTACTGACACACACGTCGTGCCCATCGTAGCGTTGAGTTCGTCGACGGCGCCTTCCTCCTGACCCACCCTGACGCAGAGCCGGGCAAACACGTGCGCGTCGCGCTACAGGACAGGACACCGTACAACTGCATCACGGCACCGCTCTTCAATTCGCGACCTCTCCGATCCGTGGGTTTTCCCACCTGGCCTGCCGCCACCGCGCCGTGCGCCAGCCAGCAGACGACGAACCCCGTCGGCTATGTCGCACAGCCTTGATCACCGAGATCCACCGAATGTAATGTGTCGTCGCGACATCGTCGTCGCGCTCCACTCGGCACCTGCGCCATCTGGTCTAGTCTAGGTGCGCAGCCACCGAGGAACTCCAACCATAACATCAATGGGTCCACTGCTGCCTCATACCGCTTGCATGCCGTTGACTGCCAGATGGACCAGCAAATATTACTCTCTCGGTCCCTCTCCCTTCCTAAATAAAACCCTAAGCACTGCTGTCTTTACAAGAGATTCGTTGGTTTCCCCAGCTAATGACACTTACACTAACTCCATTCCAGATATGCAGGAAATATATTAAATTGTCAAACATATGAGGAACAATGCTAGCCTGGGACCCGATGGTCTCCACGCAGCTTTTTACAAATCGGCGTGGTCGTGGATCAAGCAGGATGTTATTGAACTAGTAACAGATTTCTACTCCTCGGGACATTTTAGTGATGACATCAATAAAACTTATATTGCTTTGGCTCAGCCCCTCCGTTTTATCGAAAAAAACGCTTGAGGGATGACAATCACAAAGATGAGCTGACCCCTCGACCGGACCCCTACAACGTGCGGGGGCTTGAGGAAGTTGGACTCGCAAGGAGACCGAATGCGCGGTTGTCGGACGATGGCTCGGATCCTAGGGAGGGGTACGTACAAAAACTAAGAATAACGTTTCTGAAACAAAAAACGCTCTCTCTTAGCAATTCCGCTATCGTCTGCTCGATCTTTAGTGAAACCTAACCCCGACAATGGCAAGGGGTCGGGCCTCACTTGAGGGTTGATAAGGGTAT